AGGACAACAAAAACAAAAAAAAAATAATAAGAAATATCCTTGCTTGGAATTTCTTTCATTCCAAGGCAAAAATTAGCGGATCGAGAGAAATAGCGACTGCTAATCCAAAAGTAACGTCGTGACAAATAATGCCGAAAATGTTTGAATCAAAGGAAATTATTATATGTTTATTCATGTCGATATTTTAGGTCAGCCGTCAAAAACGAGATCCTTTATATTCCATACTTGGTTATGAGCAATTAGTTTGCAATTTCTCATCCTATGTGCCTTTTATTCTTCATGCATACATGCAGAACCCCCTTAACTAAGGTCCTTTTATTCTATTGCCAAAAATTGATCCGTCTCGAAAATCACTTTCGGGAGTTTTGGCACCAGACATCCTGAGTCCAACATCTGGTCAGAGTGTCCCCAATCCCCGAGCGTGCTCCGGTTAGTTCTGTGGTTAGTTCCAAGTTTTGTTCTGGTTCGGTTTCTGGTTCAGATCTAGTTGTAGTTGAGATGGCTGCGGTGGTGTGATGAGACTGGTTTTTCTGGCCTAGTTAAGGCTAATATTTGAATATAATAGCCCAACTGCTTTTTGCTCAGAGAAGGGTAACAGAATCAAGGTTCCCTCCTTTCAAGTAATTCAACCGTCTTCCCTGTAGTTGTGGGAAAGGGAGACCTCTCCCCAGAACCCACCTTGGTAACCGAGCCATCAGTTGGTAATGTTGGTCCGGTTTGAGAACGATGCTGATACAAGTCAGTTGGCAGAATTTGAAGGATCAAGGTGGAGAAGAATGTCTGTTTCAAAAAGAAAAAGATGCAGTCACCAATTTCATGTGGCCGCATATATGTTTGAAGCGCCAACAAGTTCTAACTTCTTCAAGACCTTTAAACATACCTTATTCGACGAGAATAATGAACCCATAGGTCTCATTTGTCTGATTCAATTCGTGTTGCCCAGATGAACTGGTATGATGAAAGAGATGTGTTACGGGCATTCCTTAGACTTTGCACAAGAGCTTTGTAGGAAATGGTATGACGGTTTGGATGTGGAGATACAGAGAGATTGAGTTAAGTTCAGACTGCTTTTCATCAAGCATTTTAAAAACAGATGAATAAGTGATGAGTTTGAATCTCCGCGATTGGAGAGTTAAAGGCAAGGGTAAGGATGAAAGCTTCTCCGATTACTATAAGATGGAGCACAAAGTTGTTTATGGTGCAGACCGAGGCCAAGGATCAAAGAGTTTGATCCGAATTTTTTAGTCGAACTTATTAACCCTTAACTTTTAAGGAGAGGATGCTGGTCAAACTCTCCACCGACTTTTTCTCTGGTACAAAGGGCTCGGATTATATTGAAGAGTTGTACAACGAAGAGAAAAGAAAAGCCGAGGTTTGGTTAATTACCCGGTCTTCCTACGGTGATCAGAAATGAAATGCTGGTAATGCTGCTACAAACCAGTCGGGGAGTCAGCATACAGTTGGAGCTGTTTATGAGAAAATGAAGAAGGGAATTCACTTGATTTAGGTAGACCTTAGGCACAGTTTATGAAGATCTGCATCAAGAATATGGTGGTGTTGTCAAAAGTTATCAAATTGATCGTCTAGGCCTATTCGGGGTAGGTTTGTTGATTAAGATTGTGAGTATCATCAATGCAAAGGTCATTCTTTGATGATTTGCTTTCAAGCTTCAGACATGATATTACAAAATTTTGATAGATAGTGGGGAAAGTCAACTAAGCCTTCTAAGCATAGTAAGGCCAGCACACACGGATATTCCTTTGCCGCAGTAACCAGTATAACTATCCATGCTCACAAGTCTCAAACAGGCTGGATCAGTTATTGTGATTGGAAGTGGTTTTTGCCTGAAGAGTTGGTATTTGGGCTGAGGCAGAGTTGGAAGAGAGTGTGTGCTATTTTAAACTTTGGGATGACTTTGCAGTAGTGAAGAAGAATGGAAAGGAAGCCAGTGAAAGTCAGATAGAAAGAGTATCGCAGTCAAGATTGGGGAGATTACCAGACAATAAAGATGACAAGGGTTCAGCTACATTCAAAATAGTTTGGCTGATCAAGTCAAAACCAGTGATATTTAACAAGTAGTGAATTGATGATGTGAATGAAGATTTGGTGTCCCAGAGTTTGCCTGGACGGTCGTGTATACAATCCTGACAGAATTCCCTGGTAAGGGGAAAGGAATTGTCCATTTATCGGATAAGAAAAGAAGATATCACAGAGAAGGGTGAAAGGCAACTCAAAGAGAAAAAAGGAAGTTTGAGTGGATAAAGCACCAGAAGAGTTACTAAAATAGGTGAAAGTAGCCAGACAGAGTACCCGAGCGGGGTGACAGCAATTCAAGCACTAAGTCTAATTAGCAGAGGACTAAAGGCTAAATCTTCATTATGTGGGATTTATTGATAGCTTCGAAAGAACACAGAGAAGCTCTGTTGGAGGCTTATGACGTTTGTCATAAGAGTTTCCTTGCAGGAATTTCAGAGTGTGGTATGATTAACCCGTGCTACGCGCAGGATAGGTGGGTAACTTTCCTTTCGATTCTTGATCTTCTTCCCGAAGGTAGGAAACCATTTTAACCTTGTACATCCAAGTTGGTGTTAATGGAAGGGAGACTCGTAATGTGGATGGTTGAAATATGGGTCAGCATTTGTGCGTTTGTCCACTAAAAAATGTTATCCAAGTTCCAGATTGAAGAGGTCGGAGCTCAAGCCATCTACCATGTTTTGTAAAGCTTATGATAACCACCATGCGTGGTGCTAGGGAATAATTCGAGCAAAGATTTCACAGGAGTAGTAGAGGAGTTTGGGGTGGAATGATAGTCTTGGCATCTCGGCCTAATTGTGCTTTGCTGTTGGAAGGCTGTGGCTTCCATCCTTTGGGTGCGATTCCATCCACATTGCACAGAAGGCAAGATGCCTTGGACCAAGTGTTGTAACGATTAAATGCGTCAAGAAGAACTGAAATGTTGCTGCTGTGGAAAGGTATAGAGTGCAAGCTGTGACCTTATCCTTGGATTTCAGTGGCTTGTATTGGACAATTGTTTAATCACTGAAGAGAAAAGTGCAGTTAATAGGATGAGCCCTTTCCTTCCCAAAGATGATGGATGAAGAAAATGCAGTGGAAGTACGACAAGGGGTTAGGCCGAGATTTGCAAGGCAGGTTTGAACCAGTGCCATCTTCAAGTGGTCAGAAGCACCGATACAGTTTGGGGGTACTCAAAGAACAGGAAGAAAGAGAAGTGTGAAGTTCAGTCTCCGAAGAAAGAGCTGGGATTGAATGGGATTTTCTTTACCCCAGAGGCTTCCGGAGGCTTTCAGAGCAGAGGAAAGACGTATCCAAGCTTGGAGATTTTTATGACAGATTTTGAGGAACAGATCATCAAGTCTCCAGAGCCTTCCTTTGAGCAATTAGTGGATGGTACATAATTTATGATTGGCATGGTTCAAGGGTTCAAGTAGGAAGTGGCTTAGAATGGTCCCAGAAGATGCTAGAGTTTGAAGACTTTCTCGGGATTGGGGACGAAGCTTCAAAGATGATTCAAGAGCAGAAGTCCAAGGCGAGGATCCTCCAATCATTGCTAGCAGTTGCTAGCAGCAGAAGATGCAAAAAGGAAGATGCTGGAGAATGACAAAGCGCACAGAAATGAAAGAAAAAAGCTACCCTCAGAAGCCGAAGATGCTCCTAGTGCGAATGAAGTAGTGCAAACCATTAGAGATAGCTTGTGATGAGTGGTATTGAACAAAGATCTTAATCCTGTTTTTTGTTTTTCTGATGTTTGCTTTGAAGAATTGATGGAATGGATTTCCCTTTACTATTTCAATCAAAATGGAAAGTGAATTTTGATTAACTTGTTTCTTGTTTTCCTGATTGTTGTGTTTCAATGGCAAATTGATTATACCAACACGCATATTTGAACTAAATGCATTGCATCATCACATTTAACGCTAAGCAACCACCCCAAGCACCACCGAAGATCCCAAAATAATCGAAATCGGATCAGACTTGAAGCTTGAGCTCAGAAAGGATCTCCAAGAATGTCTCAAGAGGAATTCAGAAGTCTTTGCTTCGAGTTATGCTGATATGCCGTGTAACGCCCCAAAATCTTTGAATCTTAAAATGATATTATTTTATCGGGTCATGAATGGTGCTGCAGAGAGGGGGATAATATTTTATTTAGATCCAAGGAAACTTATGAATACTCAATTACTTCTAATTCATAATCTTATTTTATGATTTGTATGTTAAGTTAAGACGGTGTCTCCGGCACCGAATGTGGCTGGCATTCGTCGTCGGGTCCCTCACGGGACTGGAGGAGGGTGTACATGTCCCGGGGATCGACAGGTTCAATTGCAGAAGCATTTCATCCCTACCGATTCCCGAATAATCAAAGCTAGTAAAGCAGAAAAAAGAAAGACGGGTCAGACCAGAGTGGCAAAGAACAAGATCAAGGCGAAGGTTTAGAACAGCTAGATGCAAGTTTCTTTGGAGGTAGTGCAATTACAATGAGTGGTTTAGCAAACATAGTCCCTGTGCTTTAAGAGGATGGGAGACTAAGAAGTTTGTTGTCGACTTACAGAGAAATTTAAACAAAAGCCCTCGCCCAAAGATGACCCTCCAACTTCACATGTTAGATGTTCTGATCGACAAGTGCTGTAGGATGGGATTGTTATTCCATTAATGGATGGATTCTCTGGGTACAACCAAATCCTGAATGGCCTTTGTAATTGACAAGCACAAGACCGCCTTCACTAACCGATTTTTGGGAAACCTTCTGTTATAGGGTGATGCCGTTTGGGTTGAAGATGCGGAGCACATATTAGAGAAATGGCTACAACCTTGGTTCCATGATAATGAATCCATAAAAGATTGGAGGTTTATGTGGAATGACATGGTGATCATGACAAAAACACAAGAAAGAACATACGGAAAATGTTGGAAAAGTTCCTTCGCGCGGGTCAAACAATACAATTTAAGAAACATCAAATCCTAAAAAAGTGCATATTTGGGTAATGAGGGGAAGTTTGTTAGGTTCCGTTGGGTGGGGACCTAACAGGATTGAGATTGACCCAGATAAAATAAAAGCCATTCAAGACATGGAACCGCCAAGAACAGAGCGTCAGGTGAGAAGCTTCTTGGGAAGATCCAGTATATCAGCATGTTCATTTCCAGATTATCTATTACCTGTGCTCCAATCTTCAAGTTGCTTAGGAAGAACCAGCCGGTCAGATGGAACAAGGATTGTCAGAAGGCCTTTAACCATATAAAGAAGTACTTGATGAATCCACCAGTGTTAAGTTGTCCTAAACCGGGAGAACCTTTGATTCTGTACTTGTCTGTAGAGGATGCAGGAGTTGGAGCTATGTTGGCACAACCTGATGCTGCTAGAGTAGAAAAGGCCATCTATTATATCAGTAAGAAATTACTGCCTATTGAGGAGAAGTATAATTTGATAGAGAAGACATGTATGGCAGTGGGAAGACATGTATGGCAGTGGTGTGGTCCCGATTAAGAAGTTTGATGTCCTTATTTTGAAATTCTTTCAGGATCAACCTTTGTTTCTAAAAAATTGATCCTATGAAAGTAAATCTTCAGAAAAACACCTACTCTAGAAGGACGGTTGTCCAAATGGTTAATTTTAGATGTCCAGTGTAGGATGCGGAGTTGTCAATTAAAGAAGACGGTCAAAGTCGGGTTTGTTTGGCAGAATTCCTGGCTGAGAATCCCATCGTAGATGATGATGATGAACCATGGGAACTAGAATTTCCAGAAGAACATTTGTTATGTGTTGAAAAAGGGGTCTGGAAACTATACTTTGACGGATCAGCCAATAGGAATGGAGCTGGAGCTAGTATTGTGATAGAAGCGCCCAATGGCGAGGTGACAATAATGTGCAAAAGGTTGCTGTTCCCAGTCACTAACAATATGGCAGAATACGAAGCATGTATTATGGGAATCGAGTCTTTTCTTGCAACAGGCGCTAAGGAGGTTGAGGTGATAGGAGACTCATTGTTGGTTATTGAACATGCCAGTGAAAGATGGAAAGTTGAGGAAGATAGGCTGAAATAGGCCTGAAGCCCTATGTTGAATACTTGTTAAAGAAAGCAGCACTTTTGACAAGAATCACTTTTACTCACATAGGTAGAACTCATAAAGCAGAATCCTAGATGCTTTGGCAAACCTAGCCTTAAAGTGTGGCAGGATTTGAGTGTGGCAGGATTTGAGTAAGATCCCAAAGAAGCCATTTATCATTACCGCAGCAAATATGCCATGCTATGAAGAACATTTTGTGAATCAGGTTGTGTTGACGCGTGTCTTTATGCCCCCACCTAACCCAATGAGGATACAAGGATACGGAAGGAAGGGTTATTGCTATCTAGAAGTCTTTTAATCCAAGGGTTTAATTTAGACCAATGTAAATGTGTTTGGATTGCGTAAGAGTTGCGTCACGCAGCTATCAGGTGCGTGACGACACTGTTGGTTGCGTCACGCAACTCCAATTTAGATGATGTCACCGAGAATGTCGACATAACGGTTTTTCATTCTATCTGAGTACGTGGCAGTGGTCCAGAAAGTGAGTTGCGTGACGCAGCTATCGGATCCATCACGCAACCGTAAGCTGCGTGACGCAGCTATCCTCTGTTGCCCTACTTCTATAAATTCATAGTTTTATCTCTTATTGGGGACTGGTTTTTAGGGTGTCTAAAACATACACTTGTGGCTAAGTTTTTCTCCAGAGACTCTTTTGAGTTCCCTTGAAGAAAAATAGCCATTAGACATCAATTAGGTTAAAAAAACGAAAGTCATAAAAGAAGAAAAAGCAAGAGAGAGAAAAGAGTGAGCGTTTAAATCCTTGTGGACAAAGCTTCTGGAATCCCTTAACCGTCATTCTTTAAGGCGTCTAAGCCGTTTACAATCCTCAGTCTGAGGGTTAGGTAATTCCTCAGTCGAGGGTTAGGTTTCCTTTACGCTCTTTTTTTTTGTATTTTTATTTATTGTTATTTATTTTGTTATTATTATTAGTAGTGTTTAACTTAGTTAAAACGGGTATTCTGTTCACTTTTTGGTCGTTTTTTTAAAGATCTTATTAAAGCGTGTTTAAATAAAAGAACGATTTAAATAAGCTGTTTGAAAAGTAAGCACGGACCAGAGTAGTTGCGTCACGCAGCCAGTAGATCCGTAACGGACTTGGCAGATGTGTGACGGAGCTGTTCATGTCCAAAATATCGTTTCTTTACCCAGACCAGTTGCGTCACGCAGCTATCAGATCTGTAACAGATCTGGAGGTTGTGTCACGGAACTGTTCATGTGCAAAATTTAATTTTATTTTCAATATTCTATTTCTTGATTGTGGATCTAAAATAAATGGTTGATGGCTCTGGAGTTTTAAGAACAGTTAGGTCACGCAACTATCGGATCCATCACGCAACTGTTCTTCCAAAGGATAGCTGCGTGACGTGACTGTTCTAGGGTTCCAGAAACAATTTTTGTTTTTTTTTAAAAAAATAATAAACGTTGTACAAAATCGATTTAATTTTTTCAATAAATCCGAAAATGACCAATTATGAACAGATTGCAATTTAATTAAGTTTAGAATATTAAATAATAATTATGCATGATTTCTGGATTTTTGGTTTTTGGGTTTAAATTTTGAATCGGGTAGAATGTATTTTTAGGTTCGGTTTGTGGCCCGCCTTTAACCATAAGGCAAGAGCAGAAGAGCAGAATCTTTTATTTGTTTGATTTAATTGCTTTGGTTTGGATGATTTAAAATGATTATGGAATGCAAATGATTGGATTTGATTGGGACGATTAATTGATTTTCCAATATAAGAAACTCGGTTCGATTCATTCGGGTTAGGTTTAAATAAAGAAAATAAATTTGGCTTTTCTAACTAAAATAAATTAGAACATCGTAGGTTAAAGAAGGCCAGAATTTTCCCGGCGTCGCTCTAACGGGCCGGCGTACCCAATTCCCTTACCCAGAAATCGCATTGTTGCGCCTGACCAGTCTTTTTATAATTATGGCCTTAATAGAATGGGTTTTAAATGGAGTTCAATTTTTATAAAAAAATAAAATTTGGAAACGATCCATTGCCGAAATAATGGGAATGGGTGGCGACTCAAAAGTGTTTTATAAGACCGATTTATCGGCATCGCATCCAAAAAATGTTTTGTCACCACTGTTCATAATAAAATCATTTTCCATCAAAAACAAAAGGACATGTTTTTCTTGTTGCTCGGGGGCGGTATGAAAACAGATTGGCGACTTCGCTCGAGACTGCATCCACTAACCAGAGGGCGGTATGAAAACAGAGGGCGGCAGCTGCCGCCGTGGCTTGTCCACTTTCTATTTTTTCGTTTCGAAGGCTTTTTCAGGAGTTTCGTACCTCCAAAAAATATTTCGGGACCAATTCCGCGATTCTCGTAATTTTCCGGACGTTTTAAGTATCATATTGGCATACTTTCGGTGAACTTTCCGAATGGCCTCCGGTCCGGCCGGACTGTTTGCAGTCCGTGAGAACAGGCTTTTTGAGCCTCAAAATTTGAGTATTCACAGTTGCCCTTTGAGTATTCACCAGTTGCACCCCCACCGACAACCAATAAAAATGAATTTTATGGGAGTCGGTGGGTTGTCTGAAAAATAAATTTTTGAAGGCGAAAATTGCAGACGCGTTCCGAAAGACCCTTTTTGGCCTTCCGTGGCCAAATTGGGCCTGTGTGGCCAAATTGGGCATTTTTGGCCTTTGGGGCCATGTTGGGAATTTTTGGGCCTTAGGGGCCAAAATGTGAACTTCTGGGCCTTTGTGGCCAAATTGGGCAATTTTTGGGCCTTTGGGGCCAAAGTTGGGAATTTTTGGGCCTTAGGGCAAATGTGATTTGGTTTGTGGATTAGGCATTTTTGGGGACTTTGGCCATAGTTTGGGTTTTTGGGCCTTAGGGGCCAAAATGTGACTTCTGGCCTTTTGGCCAAATTGTGAACTTTTTCGGCATTGGGCCCAAATTGGGAATTTTTGGCCCTTAGGGGCCAAAATGTGAAATTTTTTTTTTTTTTGTATATACTAGCAGTTACTGTTTTTATTAGACATGCACAATTGGAACTAAGAGTCTCCTCCAAGGTAAGATTTTGAGGGAGGTACGGTCTATGCTCCTAATTGCTACCCTTAGGGGAGTAGTAATAGACTTGGTGTGATCCCAATGCCCCTTTGTCGCTGAGGGTATTTGGGTATGTTTCGGTCATTTGAAAAGCCTGTTTCAGTTCACAGGCACAAGCAGGGCCATGAATTGGTTTGGTGACCAGAAAGCAATTAATGCTGCCCTGTTGGTTTTGAGGATTCAATCAGACGACCAGACCGTGTGAGGCTGAGATGCCGGGCCTTGGTTTTCTGCTTATTAGCTGGTTTTCTTGTTCAACAGGGGTATGGGGATTTGCACTTCTGCCATGATTCGACAGATTGGAGGATTGGGTTGCATCGGCGGCATTGTGGGCTGGCGAGACTATCGGAGCCTTGAATAGAGCTTGCTTTAGGCTTCGATGACTTGACGGTCTCTTCCGACTATTCTCCAGGTATTTCCTCTTTTCCTCTTCCTTTTTCTTCTTTCTTTGGTTTTTTGTTGAAAAGATCCATTACTCAGGTTTGGTTAAAGGATCACCTCCAAGGTGGTTGCTGCTCCTACTTTCTTGGCCTTACAACCCTTCTCAGTATCGTATGCGGAGGATCTGATCACTCATATCCGTCCACTGATTCATGAGACTCATGGCTGATTGAAGTTGGTGAACTTTCCGAATGGCTTCCGGTCCGGCCGGACTGTTTGCAGTCCGGGAAAATAGGCTTTTTTGAGCCTCAAAATTTGGGTATTCACACACGTAGTACTACGCTTTGCGCGTTTTGAGGCAGATGAGGATAGACCAGACTGTCCCAATTGTAGATGGAACTTCAGCTGATTCAGCCATCACTCGGGGCGTTACCCGAGCCATCCTTAGGGCTTGGGTTAGAGACCATCATGTGGTTAGGCCTTTACCTAATCCTGCCGGTGTTCAGACTTCTGCTGAGTATCGGACCTGGTTCATTGCCGTTGTTTGGCCGATTGAGAGGCCAAGGAGGACCGCACTGCTGAGTGCACTTGAGGGTTGGGCTCAGGTTGGGTTGACGCTGATAATGAGGTTGGGACTGATGAGGAGATTGTGTGAGCTCCTTCGACAAGCGAGGTTGGAGAGAGTTTAGGCAGCTAGGGAAATGACTCAGAGGATGTTGCCCCAACCGGAGGCGATGGGACACTAGACTCTTAATAGGCTTTTGGACTTTTGTTGGTTTTTTCCCTATTTTGACTTTTTCACTTTATTATTTGGACTTTTGACTTGGGATTTTGATTTTTGTTCCTTGGCTTTTTGATGTATGTTTCGTTTTTTTTTTTTTTTGGACTTGGACTCAGACTTCATTATTTATTTATTTTTCTTGGACTCTTTTGCTTTCTGCTTGACTTCGGACTGTTTGACTTTATGGCTTTAATTGGAATGTCATTTGACTTTTAAGCTTTCCAAGCATTTTCCAACTTTATTTATTCAAGCTCTAATTTTTGCCTAAGCCGTTGTGAATACTCAAATTTCCTAAACTTATTTATTTGAGACAGTTTATTCGCCTAAAGATGTCATGAATGCATTTATGTAGTTATAGAATTATTAGGAGTAGAAGAGAAGAATGTATATGTGAATACCCAAATTTTGAGGCTCGAAGAGCCAATTTTCCCGGACTGCAAACAGTCTGATCGGACCAAAGGCCATTTTGGAAGTTCACCGAAAGTATGCCAATATGGTACTTGAAATGTCCGGAAAATTATGAGGATCACAGCACTGGTCCCGGAATATTTTTTGGAGGTCCGGAACTCCCGAAAAAGCCCTCGGAGCGTTAAAGTAGCAAAACCACCAGGCACGGCGGTCCAGCCGCTGGCTTCCGGTGGCCAGACGGCCCTGAGACGTCCAAGCTCAGGGGCGCCCAGCCGCCGGCCACCGCGGCCTCCAGCTGCCGAGCTCTGGCGGCCCGAGCCGCCGATCCGGTGGCCCGGCCGCC